GCCCTGTAGTGGTCCAGTCTAAGGCCCCGTATTGGTCCAGTCTAAGGCCCCGTATTGGTCCAGTCTAAGGCCCCGTATTGGTCCAGTCTAAGGCCCCGTATTGGTCCAGTCTAAGCACTGTATTGGTCCAGTCTAAGCACTGTATTGGTCCAGTCTAAGCACTGTATTGGTCCAGTCTAAGGCCCTGTATTGGTCCAGTCTAAGGCCCTGTATTGGTCCAGTCTAAGGCCCTGTATTGGTCCAGTCTAAGCACTGTACTAAGGCTCCACAATGGTCCAGTCTAAGGCCCTATTGTGATCCAGTCTGAGGCCCCACAGTGGTCCAGTCTGAGGCCCCACAGTGGTCCAGTCTGAGGCCCTAGAGAGGTCCAGTCTAAGGCCCTGTATTGGTCCAGTCTAAACACTGTATTGGTCCAGTCTAAGCACCGTATTGGTCCAGTCTAAGCACCGTATTGGTCCAGTCTAAGGCCCTGTAGTGGTCCAGTCTAAGGCCCTGTAGTGGTCCTGTCTAAGCACTGTATTGGTCCTGTCTAAGCACTGTATTGGTCCTGTCTAAGCACTGTATTGGTCCTGTCTAAGCACTGTATTGGTCCAGTCTAAGCACTGTATTGGTCCAGTCTAAGGCCCCACAATGGTCCAGTCTAAGGCCCTATTGTGATCCAGTCTGAGGCCCTAGAGAGGTCCAGTCTAAGGCCCCTCAATGGTCCAGTCCGAGGCCCTACAGTGGTTAAGTCTGAGGCCCCGTGGTGTTCCAGTCCAAGCCCCGAGAGTGGTCCAGTCTAAGGCCTTGTAGTGATCCAGTTCAAGGCCCGACAGTGGTCCAGTCTAAGGCCTTGCAGTGGTCCAGTTCAAGGCCCGACAGTGGTCCAGTCCAAGGCTGTAGTGGTCCAGTCCAAGGCCCGACAGTGGTCCAGTCTAAGGTCCCAAAGCTGTTTGTCAGGGGGGTTTTTTCAGCTATTTTTCGGCTGTTTATCTGTAATCTAATCTTCGACTTGTGTTACCTTGTTAATCCGAATTTATTGCTCATCTCTCTGACTCTAGTCAGATCAGATTAGTTCCACATTAACTTCTGGTCTCTTTCTCCTCCTCCTCGTTATCCTCACACCCACCAGGTGGCGTTCAGCTCACCCCTGAAGACTTCACCCGGGCCCAGAAGTACTGTAAGTACGCGGGCAGCGCTCTGCAGTACGAGGACGTCAGCACGGCGGTCCAGAACCTCCAGAAAGCCCTGAAGCTCCTCACCACCGGCAAAGAATGAGCTCTTTGTCCCCGCCCCCCTCCCCCGCCTCTATCTGTCACTGATACGACTCGCAGCGGGCCGACGTTCAGAAACAGTCTGTTCACGTCAGACCAGGACACGATGGAAATCAGCTAGAACAAAGACGCCCTGTGTGGTTCTGACTGACGGGACTACGAACCGACCAACTGCAGGACATGTGGACTCTGACTGAGATCAAAGCCTCGTTGATGACCCCCCGCTCATCAGCTCGTTAAGAGTTCGTTTAAAATTCATCATTGCTTTCATTATTTACTTCCTGTTCATTTTATCTTCATTTAACTAACAGAACAGGACCAAAATCAAGTCCTTCAGTTCTTCCTTTCCTTTAAAATGTTAAAAATAAATAAATTTATTTGTTTCCATCAGTTTGAATCTGTTCAAAGATAAAACGTTTCTCACCTGTATTCACCGAGGATCAGTCTGGATCTGCTGCAGGTTTAAAATGGACCATCTGTGGAATCGGATCTGTGCTTTAGTTCTCCGCAAAAAATGTAAAATCTAAAACATTTATTGTTTCTGAATTAATTTTCACAAATTCAGTTCCTGGCAGTAAGGGTTCAAATATCTACCTGCAGCAGGTAAGATATTAACTTTCTCTTCAACACATCTGAACCGTCCCACCCTTAAATTAGTTAGATGTAATATGTCAGGTTAGCTTAGTTTATCACAAAGATTAGGAGGGAAGACAAACTGTTAGCATGGTGAGCAGAAGTTTCTCCTCCTGCTGACCAACAGACTCACTAACTGAACCGGGTCAGGTCTCCAACAACAGGACCACTGTCTGTTTTTGGTCCAAACACAGACCAGAACCCGTTAGGACTGTTCCGGTTCCATCGCTGATTTCTGAGACACATCCAGTCAGTTTGACCCACAGTTCAGATGATTCAGAACAAACTAAAGACGAGGAGGACGGTTCTGTCAGAGCGAGGTCCGCAAATGGTTTCTTTACTGGTTTATTCTGACGTCTGACTGGAGGAGAGGTGGAGGTTTTTATACTTTCGGCTTTAGATTTTTTAACTTTAATTCTTTACGTTTCAACAGAATTTCTACAGATTGAATAAAATATTTGAAATCATTTGTTGTGTTGGAATCTGTTTTGAAAGAAGGCTTCAATGGAAGTTTCAACATAAGTCATATGTACTGTAGCTCTCAAATAAAAAAAGCTATGCTGAGATTAAAGAAACTACACAGATTAAACTATGGTGGGATTAAATTTTGCTGAGATTAAAGAAACTACACTGAGATTATACTACCCATAGATTAAACCATGCTGAGATTAAATAAACTATGCTGAGATTAAACTACACAGACTAAACTTTGCTGAGATTAAACAAACTACACTGAGATTAAACAAACTACACAGATTAAACCACACATAGATTAAACTATGCTGAGAATAAACTACACCGAGATTAAAGAAACTACGCTGAGATTAAACTACCCTGAGATTAAAGAAACTACACTGAGATAAGAGAAACTGCCGAGATTAAACTACACAAAGATTAAATTACGCTGAGATAAAAGAAACTACACTGAGATTAAACTACAGAGTTAAAAAAAAACTATCCTGAGACCCTCCGCAGAATCGCCACCTTAACATGGTGAAGAGATTTGAGTAGCCCTGTGATCCCGGGGGGCTATGTTGTCTGGTAGGGTCTTCCTTGGCAAACAGGCCTTGGGGGAGGGGTCAGACAAAGAGCAATTCAGAACCCTTGATGAGGAAACATCACCCACATCAGGGAACCTCACCCAGAATAGGGAAACCGGGGCACCTGGCCTGGAGCCAGGTCTGGTGGGGGGAGCTCACTGGTGAGCGCCTGGTGGTCGAGCCTTGGCTCCTGGGGCTCAGCCAGACAAAGCCTGAAAGGACTATAGGAGGCCACCTCCACGTGGATCTACCACCCGCAGGGAAGACCATCAAGGTCGGGTGCGATATATTCTGGGCAGCAGGCAAAGGAGTGTCCCTGGACATGCTGATTCCTGGCGACAACGACTGGCTCTAGGGACATGGAACATAACCTCACTCATGGGGAAGGAGCCAGAGCTTGTGGGTGAGGTTGAGCGTTACCAGCTAGATACAGTTGGGCTTACCTCTACTCACAGCTTGTGTTCTGGAACCCAACTCCTGGAGAAGGGCTGGACTCTTTCCTGTTCTGGAGTTGCCCAGGGAGAGAGGCAATGGGCAGGTGAGGGGATACCCGCAAGCCCCCGGCTGTGTGCCTCGGTGTTGGATTTCACTCCGATGGATTGCCTTTATGCAGCTTTGTGCTGCAGGAGGGAAGGTTCTGACTGTTGTTTGTGCTTATGCACCAAACATCAGTTCAGATTACCCAGCCTTTTTGGAGTCCTTGGATGATGTCCTGGAAGGGGTGCCATCTGGAGACTCCCTTGTTCTGCTGGGTGACTTCAATGCCCATGTGGGCAACAACAGAATTATCTGGTAGGGAGTGATCAGGAGGAACGGCCTCCCTGATCTGAAATGAATAAAGAACACCATGTTTGAGCATGGGGTGGTCCATAAGGGTACTTTGTACCAGGCCACCTTAGGTCAAAGGTCGATGATCAATTTTGTAATCGTGTCATCTGACCTGCAGCCCTATGTCTTGGACACTCGAGTGAAGAGAGGGGCAGAGCTGTCAACTGATCACCCCTGGTGGTGAATCGGTTCCGGGGGAGGCTGCCAGACAGACCTGGTAAACCCAAACATATAGTGAGGGTGAACTGGGAACGTTTGGCAGAGCTCCCGTCCATGCGACCTTCAACTCCCACCTCCAGGAGAGTTTTTCATATGTCCTGGGGGAGGTCGGGGACATGGAATCCAAATGGGCCAAGTTCAGGGCCTCCATTACAAATGCGGCTTCCAGATGCTGTGGCCTGAAGGTCATTGGTGCCTGTCAAGGCGGCAACCAAAGGACCCTCTGGTGGATACCAGCGGTGATGGAGGCCGTCAGACTGAAGAAGGAATTGACTTTCCCGGAGGACTCCTGATGCAGTTGATAAGTACAGGGTGGAAAAGAGGGTTGCAGATGCAAAAACTCGGGCATGGGAGGAATTTGGGGAGGCCATGGAGAAGGACTTTCGATTGGCCTCGTGGATGTTCTGGGAAACTGTTCGACAACTCAGAAAAGGACAGCGTTCCCTGTTCCAGGCTGTACTTGGCTTGGGTGGGGAACTGCTGACCAGGACTGAGGATATCGTGCGGCGGTGGAAGGAACACTTTGAGGATCTCCTGAATCCACCCATCATATCCATCTTTTAGGAGGCAGAGTCTGAAGACTTGGGGGAAGACAAGTCCGTTACCATGGCAGAGGTCACCAAGGTAGTCAAAAAGCTCCTTGGTGGCAGTGTGCCAGGGGTGGATGAGATTCGCCCTGAGATGCTGAAGGCTCTGGATGTTGTGGGGCTGTCATGATTGACATGTCTCTTCAACATTGCATGGAAGACTGGGACAACTCCTGTGGAGTGGCAGCCAGGGTGGTGGTTCCCATTTTTAAAAAGGGGGACTGGAGAGTGTGTTCTATCATGGGATCACACTTCTCGCCCTCCCTGGGAAAGTTTACTCCAGGGTGTTGGAAGGGAGGCTCCAATCGATTGTTGAACCTCAGATTCAAGAGGACCAGTGTGACTTTCATCCTGGGCGTGGAACATTGGACCAGATCTTTACCCTTGCAGAGTTGAGGGAGTCATGGGAGTTTGCCTCTACATGTGTTTTTTAGACTTAGTGCTGCAGGAGTATGGTGTCTGGGTTGGTACTAAGAGCAATCCAGTTCCTTTATAACCAAAGCAGGAGCTGTGTTCACATACTTGGCACAAAGTCAAGCTTGTTCTCAGTGCATGTTGTACTCCACCAGGGTTGTCCCTCATCTCTGATCCTGTTTGTAATGTTTATGGACAGGATCTCAAAGTTCCAGAGAGGAGGGGGTCTGGTTTGAGAACCACAGGGTCTCATCTCTGCTGTATGCAGATGATGTGGTTCTGTTGATGTCTTCAGGCCAAGACCTTCAGCGTGCACTGGGACGGTTCACAGTCGAGTGTGAAGCGCCTGGGATGAAGGTCAGTTACTCTAAGTCTGAGGCCATGGTTCTCAACCGGAAAAGGGTGGAATGCCCCCTCCGGGTTGGGGGAGAGTCTCTGCCTCAAGTGGAGGATTTTAAGTATCTGGGTGTCTTGTTCACGAGTGATGGTAGGATGGAGCGGAAGATGGATCGACGGATTGGGGCCTCGTCCTCAGTAATGAGGGCGTTACTTAGGGCAGTCGTGATGAAGAAAGAGCTGAGTCAAAAGGCAAATCTCTCGATTTACTGGTCTGTCTTCATTCCAACCCTCACCTATGGTCATGAGGGGTGGACATAACTGAAAGAACGAGATCCTGGATACAAGCAGCTGAAATGAGCTTCCTTCGTAGGGTGGCTGGGATCAGCCTTAGCGATAGGGTGAGGAACTCCAAAATTCGGGGGGAGCTCGGTGTAGAGCCACTGCTCCTCCACATCAAGAGGAATCAGCTGAGGTGGTTTGGGCAGCTGATTAGGATGCCTCCTGTATGCCTCCCTTCAGTGGTGCACGTCTCATTGGTAGGAGGCCCTGGGGAAGACCCAGGACTTGCTGGAGGGATTATGTATCCTCTGGCCTGGGAATGTCTCGGGATCCAACAGGACCCACTAGAAGGTGTCGCTGGGGAGAGGGACGTATGGGTTTCTCTCCTGGACCTATTGCCTCCATGACCCAACTATTGATAAGTAGAAGAAGATGGAGATGGCAATTGAGACCCTGAGATTTAAATACCCTGAGATTACACTACACAGAGATTAAAAACTACAAGACTTAACTACACAGTGGTTAAACTACACTGAGATTAAAGTATTCAGAGATTAATCCATGCTGAGATTAAAGAAACTACAGAGATTATGGAAACTACGCTGAGATTAAGATACCCTGAGATTAAATATCAATAAAGACAGTCCTAAAAACACACTTTTTCACTCAAGCATTTAGCTAACCATTTCACTACTGCCAGCCTATCTCCACTGTGAGTGCTCGTCAATCTGTGTTTTCTTTACTAGTGAATTTACACCATATTTTTCTCTCCTGCATTCATTATGTTTTTGTATATTGTATATTTTGCCTTGCATTGACCTTGTGTTTGATTTACAATTTTAGAAATTAATTTCTCGATTTGACGTTTCAAATTTTCGTTGCTTATGTTTATGTTTTTCTGTTTCATTTAATTCTTTCCACCATTTTTATACTGTTAATAATTGTACAGCACCTTGGGAATATATTTCTGTGAAAGGCGCTTCATAAGAAAAACTTTACTTACTTACTTACTAAAGTTTAATCTCAGTTTATTTTCCTTCATCCCAATGTAGTTTAATCGTAGTGTAGTTTCTTTAATTTCAGTGTAGTTTCTTTAATCTCGGTAGTTTAATCTCATGGTAGTTTTTTAATCTCAGTGTAGTTTCTTTAATCTCGGTGTAGTTTAATCTCTGTATAGTTTAATCTCAGTGTAGTTGTTTTAATCTCAGCGTAGTTTAATCTCTGTGTAATTTAATCTCAGTGTAGTTTATTTAATGTCAGCATAGTGTCTTCAACCTGGGCCTTACGTGGACAGGACTCTGGTCCATCCAAGGGACACATAACGAGACAAACATCGACGTTCAGGGACAATTAAAAGTTGCCTTCATACCTAACATGTTTTTGGTAGAAACATGGAGAAGTGACCACATCTTGATGTTAACTGTATGTTTTCTGATTAGGTGTTTGTGTGTGTGTGTGTGTTCATGTGGTTTGAGTTTAAAGGAAGCAGCTGGCAGTATTCAGAGGGAAAAGGAAAACCACAAACCTGCAGTTAGAACCTGCCTTCAGTCTTTCAACACTCCGGTAAAAACCAGAGTCTTTGCTCCGAATCTTAACATTTAAATTTCTTCAGCTTAATTTTCATAATTTTAATTTAAACCTGAAATAAAACCATAAAGTGACAAACATGTTGATTTGTTGCAGATGGAACATGTTGTTTTCAGAGTTTGAGCTAATTATGAAACTGATTTAATTGATTTTAATGTTTAAATGTTTTTTTTT